ATTTAGTAAATGTACTTGGTTACACTGTGCTGCTTGTAAAACAAAACAGAGAGTAATTATTCTGTGACTTTACGAGCAGCAGTGAAGGCAGCACTATTTCACTCTGCCCATCGCTGTATTGATTATCCAACAGTCAATGAAATGCATTTGTCCTGTTGACCTAAAAAGCAATAACAAAGGGGGGGTCGATGGGTTGTTTTTACCCACTCACATCACATCAGCAAAAACGATACTCACTACATTCAAACATTAAGTGTTTAACGTGAGCTCTGTACAGATTACAGAGCTCACGTACAGTACAGAAAAAAGTCTCTTCAAACCCCCCCCTCCTCTCAGTCCGTGTCAGCCCCACCGTCCTCCCCATCCTCATCCAGCAGCTCCTCCAGGTCCGAGTCTGATTCCTCCCCAAGCTGGAATCTCAATTCAGGAGCCGTGTGCCGTCGTAGAGCCCTGAACACGTTCCAGGAGCCTGGAGAAGAAGCCCTGTCTACAGCCCTGTGATCCTCCCCTTCACTGAGGCTCTGACCTGGGTCCGAGGCAGGAGGATCAACTGGGATTGGGCTGGCCTCCAGGAAAAATCTTCCAAGCACTCTGCGCTTATGTGAGGACATGAGCTCTCCGTCATCCAGGGAACATCTGTCCCTGTGCACGGAGCAGCTGCATGTGAAGCGAGGCTGCACAGAGGGAGCAGCTGACCGACACATGTGGAGGTCAGCGGTCTCTAGGCGAGGACGTCCAGCCCGCAGCAGATGTCTTGGAGCCAAGCGCCTCCACAAACCATGGAGAGCTTTGTTGATTGGTTCTTTGGAGTTTTTAGAGTTGTATTTCCTCTTCATCCACTTTCTCCAGACTGCGGTGACTCTGCAGCTGAGCACAGAGTCAGGGTGCAGCCTGGTGTCTTCATCTCCTCCTGTAGGAAGCTTTACCTCCATGCTGGTGCAGCCCGCCGCCTCCTCCTCATCCTGGCAGAGCAGCAGAGGGTTTGGCATGACTTGTTTCACCAGAGAAAGGATGGAGAGGCAGGATCAGCTGCAGCTCTCCTCTGTGCCGCTCTCTGCAGCCTGCCCTTCAGTTTCAGGGCTGCAGATCACATGCTCAGCTCAAAGCAGGTCACACTGTCACACATGAGGCAGCCTGAGTGATTCAGAGAGAGATCTGTCCACAGTCTGACCCTCAGCGGTCTTCTCTCGTCCCCCTCACAGGGCCTCTGCTGATGCACTTATCAGCACCAGGCAGCCACATCTGCTCAATCCCTCTTGCCACCTTAGGCGAAAGGTTGGCTATTCTTACAGAACTAAAACCACTTTCATTAAATCTCTTTACATGTTACAACAAATAATGTTATGTCAGTTTTCATGTGTCTTGGGCTATGCTGACGTGATTTATAGGCATGCAGCCTCCTTAACGCTGCAAAATTCTGGACTATCACTCTGCCTTGAGATTTTAATTTGTGTAACTGGCTAGTGGAGCAAACATATACCACCTCCTTAAAGTCTGTTTAGTTATTCTTTTTGGATATGTTAAATATGTTAACATTTAGAATCTCCCAACCTCCTACATGTAATTGTTTTAAAAAAAGAATTATTTCACATATTAATATATCTGTCATATGATCTATCTATCATATGCCAACATTCTAGGGCTTTTTAATACTATACTTTATTTATCTTAAATACCCTAATGTACTCATCAAAATGTTTCTCCTAATGGTTGGCTTATCCTATTTGTATTGCCTCCTCTTTCTGTATATTTATTGTTGTCTTGTCCCTTTCTCTTTGCTTTTGTTATTGACTATGTACTTGTAACGGAGGGTCAATTATCTCTCAAGTATAAACACAATTGTAAGCAGTGATACCATGATGGTGCACCAGCTCCATGTCTTCTGTGCATGCAGCACACCCCAAAGAGTGACTGGGGGACTGCTGGAGCCTGCAGTGTGTCAGCAGCAGCTGTCCGTCCGCTGTGTCTCCTGGAGAATCAATAACCAGTCCCAGAAACATTTCTTCAGCTGTGACAGTGTGTTGCAGTTTGAAAGTATCTCCGAGCTGAGTTTTCCCTCTGTCACGGTCTGGAGGAGGTCATGCAGTCTGGTTTCTGTCCCCAACTGATCTCAGTCTGGTTCTTCTGCCTGAGAAAGACGTAATATTAACTTTGTATATGTTAAATGTGTTATTGGCCTTAAAACAAAGAAAATGTACCGAATAATTAGGATAAAGATTAGTCGACAGAGCTTCAACATTGCTGAAATAAATGCACTGGGATAACGTCTTGCTCGGAAACAGGTTTATAACAAAGTAGGTTTTTGCACACAAGGTGTTTGACTTGGTGTTAGTGTGCATACAAATTAAGATATATTTTAAATTAAAAGCAAGTAGTCACTGCAGAAACTTAAAAAAAATAAAGTACAACTGTGCATTTTGTGCATATGTAATTCAGTATGAAAAGAGCCAATATCAGAGATAATGGTCCATAAGATATGTGTAGATGTGGGGAGATATGAGCACTTTTAAAGGGTGACATGTTTGTGTGCCTCTTTTAAAATAAAATAGCTTTAATGCTCTACTTAATCTCTTTTTTCCCCACAACATTTGTATTCCTGCACCTAGGCAGACAATATTTACTGGCTCAAACTTTATGTGATCTATCATGACATATTTTCAACATCTTTAAATATATTTGACATGACAGAATATTACGTTTTAATACAGATCTGTAAAATATTATTACTGTCACTTAAACAATCACGAAACAGTAGACAGATGTTGGGATTTGAAAACGTTTGTCTTGGTCACTCATAAAACTCTTTGTTCTCTTTGCTTTTATGTATTTTTTTTGTATTATATATGCGACCCGACCACAGATAAGCGGGAGAAGATGGATGGATGGATGGATGGGACTAACTGGACACCCTTGCCTCACGCCACGGTGTAAGGGGAAAGGTTTTGAGATGAATCCATTAGTTCTAACAGAAGAGAAGGGAGCGCTATACAAAGCCTTTACCCAGCTAATCAACTTGGGCCCAAAGCCACATTTTGTGAGCGTGTAAAATAGATATGCCCATTCTATTTGGTCAAAAGCTTTCTCAGCATCTAGTGATGCTGCAATCATTGGCAAATTGCTGGAACTTGCTTCTAGGATAATCTGAAAAACCCTCCTCATGTTATTTGAGGATTGGCGGCCTGGGATGAAACTTGGTCTGGATGCACTACAGATGGAACCTTCTCCAAACGGAGTGCCAGTAGCTTGGCCAGAATCTTGTAGTCACAGTTTAAAAGGCTTAAAGGGCAGTGGTTACCCATCAAAGAATGATCAATGAAATAATGGCCTGGCTCATGGAGTAATATTTCATTGAATAACAACAGTAAATATGGTGAAAGCTGTTCTTTAAAACAGTTATAGAACTCGGTTCCAAAACCGACGTCCCCTGGAGTTTTTCCTGATGCCATCTTCAAAGAGGGTCCCCCTCTTTGACCCATCTATATTGCGGTTTCTATTTCACTTTGTGAAACAGGTGCATCCATAGCAGATCTGTCAGCCAAGCTGACGCTAGGGAGGTTAAAATCTCCAAAAAAGCTATCTAAGGCTTCTTCTTTTTTGTGCTATATAATTTAGAATAATAATTCTTGAAAGATTCGTTGATTGTGGCTGCATCACACTGTAGCCTGCATGCTCATCTCTGATCGCTGGAATAATCTGTCTGTTTTCTATTCGTTTCAATCTATGAGCAAAAATGTTCCCTGCTTTGTCTCCGGATTCAAAGTATGTTCTTTGCTTTTATGTTGAGCGCAACAAGACGTTGCAGACAAGCCGGGGCCTTTTTTAAATGTTTGCTCTGGCTGTGCTGCAGCCTGATGTGAGTGTAAGTGGGTGAGCTGTTGGGTCAATATATGTAACAAAAAACAAATGGATTAGATGGAAAAGTTCCCCAGGCTTAAACTGACCTCTGATACCCTGTGAGCGCCTTATTACCCTGTGAACCGACTGTTACACAAAAAAATGTTGTACGTTTTTTACGTTTCATTTTTCAGTATGTTGACACAATGAAATGTGTTGATGGAATTAAAAAAAACTTTTCTTTTAAAATTTGCAATGCACACTTTTCCATTTATAAATCAGTTATTTCTTTTGATGCACATTTGCCTGCACAATCTAATTTGCAAGGTAAACTGTGACAATAGAGAATTACAAAATGATGTTATCATTATTTTAGTTTTGAAATGTTAAAAATGTTAATGTTCTTATTTAGAAGAAGTAGGGCTTTCAATCAATCAAAAATACTTAATTAATCCCAGGAGGAAATTAGGTTTTGCAGTTGCACAATAGAATACAAATAAATACATATTTATAGAAACAGTAGTTTCTTTACAAATTCAGATTAATATAACAAAACATAGGTTAAACAACCCAAATATATATATGTATGGTGCATTATTATAGATACAACTGGAAGAAATTCACAGGCATGAGCTCCCCCTCTTTGATCACAGCCAGCTGCAACGTTAAGTAATGTAAGCTACATGAATGCATTAATCATTATATTATAATAGTAATAATAATAAATAATCATATTATTATTCATAAGAAAATAACAATCAAATATTCAGTAAAATAAACATTTGTTTTAACAAAACATGCTATTCTTCTGCATAGGCCTAATGATTATCTACTTTAAATAAACTAAGGTGGTATTTCAGGTGTTTTGTGATGCGTATGCGTTCATAGTGTTTACTTCTAACAGAATATCATTATCATTACAGTATTGCTACTTTTACTCAAGTAAAGCATCAGATAACTTATTTTCACCACTACATACATAAGATAAGTACACAAATGTAGACTACATTCAGAGAATGTTAGCTAGCTAAGTGTGTGCCTCTCATGTATTAACCATAGACTGGTATTAACACAATATTGCTAATCCATTATGCTAATTCTACTCGTCTCCCTAGCGACCCGTTGCTGACTCGGTTGCCATGGTGCTTTGCTGCAGTTTCCCGGATGTATTTCTCACTGTTCAACATGGCGTCGGGAAAGTGAGACTTCAGCTAATGTTAGTCAGTTTGCCCAAAGTTAGCCCGCGTCTGCTCTTTTAAATAGAGGAAAGTTTATTTCCACATTGCGGTGGCAGCAGAAATAAGTTTTCCTGTGAGTTTCGGGGTGAGTAAGCACATTTGGTTCTAATACTTGTAGTTTGTTGTGCGCTAGCTTGTGGCGCGTCTCTGATCCCCGTTTAGTTGCTAACTGTGGCTAATGTTAGCTGCTTTTAAGTCTGGGTCTAGGGAGACCACAGAAACCTCATTCGGTGTGGTCTCTCTGTGTGTGTGTGCTATTTGAATATCTTACTGGGATGTAAAGCTTGGCGTTTTCTATGTGTGGCTACGGTACTAGGCAACTAGTCACTAGTTAAAGTTTGCAACAATTTAAAGCCGCAGTCGTTGTGACATAAGCAAGCTAACTTTACGTTATGGCTCTGTGTTATTTTGTGCTAAGACTCTTTAAGCTCGCAGGACGGCTTAATAGCAAATCCAGGAGAAAAGCTGGTTGTGGTAACATTGGATTTTCTTGTCTGTTTCTTATTGGCTGCACTGTTAATGATATCTGTTAATGATAGTGACGGGATGTAATTAAATACATGAACTCAAGTACTATATTCATGCTACTTCACCCTTCTAACGGTACGTTAAGTAAGGAGTATTACTCTTAAAAGTGTGTGTGTGTGTGTGTGTGTGTGTGTGTGTGTGTGTGTGTGTGTGTGTGTGTGTGTGTGTGTGTGTGTGTGTGTGTGTGTGTGTGTGTGTGTGTGTGTGTGTGTGTGTGTGTGTGTGTGTGTGTGTGTGTGTGTGTGTGTGTGTGTGTGTGTGTGTGTGTGTGTGTGTGTGTGTGTGTGTGTGTGTGTGTGTGTGTGTGTGTGTGTGTGTGTGTGTGTGTGTGTGTGTGTGTGTGTGTGTGTGTGTGTGTGTGTGTGTGTGTGTGTGTGTGTGTGTGTGTGTGTGTGTGTGTGTGTGTGTGTGTGTGTGTGTGTGTGTGTGTGTGTGTGTGTGTCTGGCAAGGCTCAAGGAGGATATTGTCTGTCTGAGGGTCTTCTTTGAGCTCCCTTTTTATTAAATACAGGACACTGTTCTTTGGTCTTTAATGTCCCTCCTCTTCCTTTTCTCCCAGCATGTGGATATGCATGTGTGCTGCTATTCATATCTAGTGTGCATGAGTGAGTGGCATGGGATTTTGTATGCTGTTGGTAAGCTAGCAAGGTTTTGTGATCAGTGTTGGGCACACCACACATTCCTGGGATACCAGAGCTGTATGGAGGGGTCATTCTTCCCTCTCATATACACCCAGCAGTGAGCGCTGACTCTTATCAAAATCAACCCCTTCTCTACATCATGCTCTGCAAGTTATTCAACCAGGACAACTGTGTCTGGAAGGAACTGGGTGTCAGGTTTAAAAATCACAGGGAACTACAGGTCTAATGACCAAATGTGCACTGGTAGCTCAGCATCTGTATGATTACAGCTTTAAAAAGTTATGTATTGCTAAGGTAACTTAACATTACAACTCATTACGTAAAGACCTTAATATCAGAAATGTTTTTGTGGTCCCTTTGGTCTAGAAGTATGGTACAACCAAAGTGATGGCTGGACATTTGGGCAACAAGGCTATGCAGGGATGGAATTGGTTGTCTTGTTGTAGTTCATGTTGTTAAATCTTTGAATCCAGTCCAGTGAAATTAGCTGAAAGTGTTCACAAAGCTAAAACAATATTCTCCCTTATATCCTTTATGACAGGAGGCTTTACTTTCTGAACCCCCTAGCTGCTGTTTACAGTAGTAACAGTAAGTGTGTCTGTTGTACCCTTGTGGCTTCAGAACAGACAAGAATGAAGTCTTTCTTTCTCATAACACTTCAGCGTGTCATCAAAATAAAGAAATTAGGGACAAAAAAGAATGGCGTAAAATTCGCCCAGCCAATAGAAATTGGTTATTTTTTGGTACTTTTTTGGTACCACCTCTCTAGCAGGCACTAAAAATGGCGGTAAAAGTTCCCGGGACTAAGTACTCTTTTTGGTGTGAATGCAACATAAGAGGTACTAACGGAACTAAACGGGAAAAGTACTCCGGTGTGAACGCGCCACATATTTGATGATGAAATGGTGCGTTGTAAGGGAACACAACTGTAAGGCAACACCTGGAATCTGTTTCAAGGTTCTTACTGTTGCACATTTTGAGGGTTACATACTTGGTATTCAGATTGGAAGGAGTGGTGTTTATGGTGGATCACAGTATAGAGTTGAGTCATGAAGACAGAGACTAGCAGGAGCTACTGACACCTGTTGAAAGACGTGTCCTGCAGGGGGACTGATGGCAGGACAGATGTTGTCATAAGGTGACCTGAAGGTCTCTCAGGGAGAGAGAGACAAACACAGCTGCTGTTTAGGTGTCTTCAATGAACTCCAAACAACTTTCACATCGACATAGAAAGTTCTGCCATTCATTGTCTATGGAAAGCTGTGACATTTGGATTTTTGTTGGAAATAATGTATTTAGCCTGAAACACAGAAAAATGACATTACTGCAGCACTATTGCTGCTGCTTGATGTTTCTTTGGCATTAGGCTGTGAATGATCATCATAGTATTGATCATTAAAGAGCCAGGGTCTTCACCCTGCACATTTGAGGAATTGTTCTCTCCTCCATGTGTCCTTGCTGGTTGATTTTATGGTGTAGCACAGCGAATTTCAAAGTGTGAGGCGCACCTCCCCTGGGGGGCACCAGAGAGCTTCAGGGGAAGCGCAGCGGGGACAAAAATAAAAACGAGAAACAGTTAAATCTAGCTAGTTAACTTCAGCTAACTTTATGCCGAAAACGTCACTTGCACACTTTTGGCTGTCTGTGGAGACCGAGTTCCCCCACCTCGCCAAAAAGGCTGTAAAAGTGTTCATTCCCTTCACCTCCACCTACCTGTGTGAGTGCGGGTTTTCCGCAATGACTTTGATCAAAAGCAAGTACCGGTCAAGCAGGGGCGGATCTACCGGGGTGGCATGGGTGGCAGCTACCACCCTAAAAATAGCCTTGCCACCCCAGCTGCCACCCCAGTTGGCATCTTTGTTTTGAAATAAAAGTTGTGGCTCATCGGACATTTATGAGAGAAAATCCCTAATGTCCGAGTGCAAGTGAATGCAGCACAAGACGCAAGTCTTGTAACCCCGGCCCTGGCGTGAGCGAGGAAATGGGATTGGCGGCGATTTCATTTGAACGGGACGGCGCATTCGGACCCCCCAAGTAGACGGAAGGAATGAGGTATTTGCGGTCTACAATGACAGAGAAGCCTGTCAAGTTTGACTGTACTCAGCATTGAATCAAAACGCACTACAGCTGTTGATCTTAATAAGTTTGTGAGGCGTTTTGCTGAACAAGATAGTAATCGCCACATTCAGCTGTTATAGGCATGCCAACTTGATGCTCTGCTCACGGATGACTCGATGAGAATAACAAACTGTTAAAATGATGACCTTACGTGTGTAAAACATTTATTTTTTCTTTGAGGGGGTCTGCCCCCAAAAAACAGTCCTGAGAAAGTCAAATAAGACGGTGTATAAAACTACACTGCCCAGCCAAAAAAAAGTAACCACTTTGATTGAACTAGGCCAGTAGGTAAGGACTTTCCACTGGATAATAATACCCCTGCATTATAGCAACAACAATAATAATAATAATAGCAATAATAATTGGGAGGGGGGGGCGCGGCTGTTCTTATGTTCTCTGAGGGGAGGCTCACCTTCCCACACTTTGAAAACCCCTGGTGTAGTAGATAAGTAAACATCAAAACATTCAAATCCCCGTCTTTCTCCTGGCATCAGGGTTCACAGAAAAAACGATTGCTTGATAAAGAAGGTGGGAAGAAAAAAGGAACAGAGAGCAGTGGATATTTTTCTTTCTATGTGTAAGTAGGTGTGGGTGTTTGTGAAAGGGGGAGTCGAGGTTCAGAGCCAACATTGGGCCAGATTCATCAAATGGCCATCAGCCGAACAACAAGATCTCCAGAGAAAAGCCAGCAAACAAACCCAACTCCACCTAATATCAGAAACAGAGTTTGTATGTGGTTGAGAACATCCATTCTCTGTTTTCTTTCGGTTCTTCTGTGCACGTTCTGTGTACTTTTTTTAATCTTTGTTTATGACACAAACGTTTTTCAAACCATGCACATTAAGGTATCCTGTTTAAAGAAACAACAGTTGCTTGTTGACTTACTAATGTCTGGAGACAGAGAATCAAGCTAAGCTGAGTGGTAACGGATTAAATAAACTCTGGGTGGGTCATATCGGAGCCCACATTATGATTCCTCCCTGTAACAGGGAGAATGGGCCAGGCTTATTGCCTTACAAAAGTCTCCTATGAGGAATGAATGCAGCAGCCAACATCAACAAACCCCTCGAGGTGCTCCGAACAGAGGCATAAACACTGTTATAAAATATATGCTTATCATCACAACTATAACAGACAGAGTTGATACATAGGCTAGTTTGTAACACCTGTACTACGAAGCCGGATTTTCGCTTAAAAGGACTGTTTGCTGAATATTTTTCAGTTATGGAATGTTGGTCGGAGATAAGACGCACTATAGAATTGTGACGGCATCTGGCACAATTTTCTGATATTTTAACGACCAAATAATAATAATTGTGAGATTAATGAATAGCCCTAACTTGCTTCCATTATTATTTGTTTTTAATATCTAATAGTTTTCTGTCTAGGTTCAACTCTGTTCTGTTCCTGTCTGTGTGTCTTTTGCTTTGTACACCGCAACCCAGCGAGGAGTTTTGTTCTTGTGTTTGCAAGTACAGTTGTTTTAATCTTGCCTGAAAAATCAAGCTTGGGCCTGCATGATCCCAATGATGTAGACGTTTAACACGCACACGCACACGCACACGCACACGCACACGCACACACCTTTGTTGCAGTGCTCTGTCTGTTAATAAGTGCGTTCTTTCTCAGGGTCCTGCTATCCAGTGCATTTAACCAATCTTTAAGATTAGTAACACTTTATTAAGACATGTTATTACAAGCCAGACAGCACACTGGTTTTGTTTCAGCTTGTGAATCTGTGTGTGTGTGTGTCATCACCCCAGAATGTGCTCAGGAGACACCTACTGCAGCTGAAACT